CTCTCAGAGGGCAAAGGTCAACCCCTTTTGCGGGGTTTAATAAATGCTCGCTGGATTGAATCGAAGGCCTCCCCAGCCCTCTGGTTGGACACAGAAAGAACTTCACAGGATGAGGAGGCCTCTGTGGGTGCTGAGCTGCTAGAATGAATCCCCACCCTGATGAGATCCCACATCCACGTTACCTCGAGTGTGCAGGCAACGTCCGGCCGCCTCAGGCCTGTGCCTGGGTGCTGTAATAATGATGGTAGCAATAATGACAGGTAACAGGTGTACAGCGCCGACTGTGCACCAGATGTGCTAAGCACTTTGGAAATATTATCTCGTTCAGTAATAATCATAACTAACGTGGATGTAGCACTCACAGTGTGCCAGGCACTCTGATAAGTGCTTTACAATTATTATCTCATCTGATTCTCCCAACAACCCTAGAGGAAGGTGCTAGTATTGTCCCCATTGTATGTCAAGAGAAATTGAGGGGAAAAATTTAAAAAAGAGAAACTGAGACAATCAGTGGCCCAGTGACTGGACCAGGGTCAGACAGCTATGAAGTGTCTCAGGCCACATTTGAACCGTGGTCTTCCTGACTCCAGGCCAGGCCCTCTATCTACTGCCCCCACTCAGCTGCCCCTTTATTCAGGCCAGACTCCCTGGGGCTCCTAAATTATCCCTTCCCCCTTCCCTCTTTGCTTAGCAAGCTCTTTCAAGCTCAGATATCAGAGAAGAAAAGAATTGGCCCCCAGCCCCTCCCAGCTGCGGGAGCCATTCTGCTGCTGAGGCTTCATGAGATCATAGACCAGAGCCTGGGAGACCTCAGAGGCCAGGGAGTCCACCCCCCATCTTACAGATCATGAAACTGAGGCCCAGGGAGCTCAGCGACCTTGCCCAATGACAACGATTAGCTCAGTGGAAGCCTTGGGGTACTAATGAATAAACATTTATCAAGTGCTTACTCTATGCCCATCACTGTGCCAAGCTGAAGAGAAAAGCAGAGACAGTCCCTGCCCTCACGTTCTAACGACGGAGACAACGCAAAGAGGGAATTTCAGCCTCAAATCCTACCCGAAGGTCCTTAGAGTACCCTGGCAAAGCAGATGGTAATGATGCACATTCTTTAACATTATTTCCTCTAATAAAATCATTCCCGCTTCAGATGTTGACGATGCTGAGGACTTAGGTAACCAAAACTTTCTTCTCCGTGTTTTTAGGAGCCGTGATGTCTGAGGAGGCAGGGGCATCAGCTGCCCTAAAAGCAGTTATGGGGGATGGCTTCCCCGGGGCTGGCCTGGAAGCAGGCCTGGGGCTCTGGGGGCATTGCCATCCCCCAAGGCTCCGGGCTCACTGCTCATCGATGGCAGTCGGTTAGTGATTGCTGTTGTCAGTCCTGATGAGGGTGGGCTCCTGATCCAAGGACTGCTCCCCTCAGTGTCTGCAGGACTGGGCTGGAAGGGGAGCCAGTGAACGACTAGAGGTCTGAGCTCTCTCTAGTGGGTGTGAAGGAGGCTGGTGGCCAAGGTGGTGGTGCCCGGGCTGTGACCTTTGTATTGTCTCTCCCTCAGGGTACCTTTAGCTTTCCCCTCAGGTCCACATGGTTCCCTTCTCTTCTGCTTTATGCAATCTAGACAAAAATTCAGAAGTAGAACCATAATTTCCAAATCCCAACTTTGCCAGAGGATTTTCCCACTCCCCCTTAATTCTAGTGCCTTCTCTTTGTTGATTACCTCAATTTTTCCTGTCTGTATTTTATTTACCTATAATCCTGTGTGGTTAGTCTCTCCCATTAGACTGAGTTCCTTGAGAGTAGGGACGATGTTTTGCTTCTTGTATTAGTCTGGTGCCCAGTACACACTTGTGCTTAATAAATGCCTGTTGACTGGACAGTTTTTCTGAACACCCCAGGCAAGAAAATTCCTAACATTTCTGTCTTAATTTACATTCATATCCACCTCGAGTTAACCCTCGATTTTTTTGTTATTGAGGCAAAAGTCACTGAGGAGAGACCAGCCCTTTTGTTGGAACTGTCCGTAGTCCTGAGTGTGTGGGTATAACTTCTGGTGTCGACCTGAGTCTTCTGCCTTGAGATGCCAGGAGGGCTGATGGCCCCCTGGAGATCTCCCTTCTCTACCCACCTCAGTCCTCCCTGGTCTTTCTCCTGGTGCTGTTTGCTCCTGGGCTGCCCATTTTTTCTAGTTTTTCTGGATGTGAGAACCCCTCTCTGTGGTCTGGGGACAGCTCTCCATTTCAGTCCCTCACCCAGTGTCTTTGGTTGACTTAAGGAGGTGTGAAGGCCTTGTTCACATTTCATTCTGATAGAATGAGAAGTGTTCTCACATAATAGAGGTAATTGCTTTTAAGTGGGGTGGGCAGGAGATATCTTCACCTTACATAAATGTGACAGGTGATTTGAACCTGTGTCTTCCTCTTCTTAGAGCCAATGATCTTTTTCCTGTGATATACAGCCTCCTTCACCTAAGGCCTAGACAAAGTTAGTGGTAGAAAGAGCAGGTGTTTCCACTTCTGACTCTGTTCCTGTAGTAGGGCTAATCGAGGGAACCCCTTATCTGCTGGCTCACCCACAAAGCTAGCTGTGCATTTTGGCCCTTTGCTGAATAAGATGCACCTTGCTGGGAGGACATAGCAACTCTCGCTTGGTCCTTGTGATTGGGGTAGAGTGGGTGGAAGATCATTGTGTCGGGGGGAAGAACTCTTGTGTAGGAATATCTCCTTTCTGTGATCTATGAGAATGGGGGGCCCCCTATAGCTCTCTCTTTTAGGTGCCCTCTCTCACTGGGAATGCTTTGTCTCCCTTGGATTTCCAGCAAGGGTGGGTTGGGTAGCTGTGGGAGGGGATTTCTCTCCTTCTCTCACCTCACAGAAGTTGTGGCTACAAGCAGGCTGCAGTGGGGACCTGAACTAGCCTAGGGATGCCCAACTCCCCGGTCACACCATTCTATCTGTATCTTTTCTTGAGGATGTCAGTGACCAGAAATCCTGAAAAACAGAAGCTTCCACTCTTGGCAAAAACCTTATGGGTCAAGAGTATTTTGGGAGGAGCTTTTGCTTGGCTACAGGTCTCCTTCATCTGTTTGGTCACTGGAGCTCACCCTGTGGGAACATGTTTGGGACTAAGGCTCCAGAGGTCTCAGTCTGGGGCTACAGAGAAGGCTGAAGCACATGGGGCTGCTCTGCAGAGAAGCAGAGGTCTGGGACTTACTGAGATCTTGAGTGATCTTCCACTGGAAGGGTCTCTGATGGGTCGGGGGCAGCTAGGTGACACAGTGGGTAGAGTGCTTGGCCTGGAGTCAGGAAGGCTCATCTTCCTGAGTTTGAATCTGGCCTCAGACATTTACTAACTGAGTGATCCTGGGCAAGTCACTTCACTCTGTTTGCCTCAGTTTCTTCATCTGTCAAATGAGAAAGAAATGGCAAACCCCTCCAGTATCTTTGGCAAGAAAACCTCCAAATGGGGTCAGTAAGAGTTGGACACAACTAAAATGTCTGAACCTTGCCTGGCCCATTTCCTGTATCTGTAAAAGGAAGGGACTGGACCAGAATTACATGGCCTCCTAGGGTTGTTGTAAGGATCCAACAAGCTTTGCAGATCTTAGAGCAGTGTGGACCTTTGAGTTATTATTTCTTGGAATTTCTCATACTTCTCATGGCTTATTCTCCAGTCATGCAGATACCACGGCACCCCTAGCGCCCACCTTGTTTCCAGAGCTTTGCTACCACAGAATGGCCACTGTGACCATTTAGGTGGGTACAGGAATTCCTCTTGGCTCGTTGAGAGCAGGACCTAGCCACGAGATTGCAACAGTGAGCATAAAAGTATGGCTAAACAAAAGCCAAGGAACAGGGCCAGGAACTCTCTGAGATCACGGTGAGTCCCTGCCCCTAGTACTGTAGAGCCTTGCAGAGCCCGAGGCAGTTCCTATATCCAGGTTGTTTCCTTAACTCTGTTTTTGTTTCTTGGAGGGTTTGATTCTGGGCTAAGGACAAGGGGATGTTGTATATTCAGCAATTACTTTGACAGAAAACAAAAGGTATCAATAGAACTTTTTTTCAAGAAGATATCGAGAGAAGTATGTGGTAGAGATGAGAGCCGGCATGGAGGGGATCGTTCGAGGTTCTGTGGCCCCAGAAAGGAGGAGGGTGGGAAGTGGGGAGAGGGGTCTACTGTCCAGAAACGATTCAAAGGATCATGACTTTGAAAAAAAAATTGATTTGCTATTCCATTAACAAGTCAAATATCAAATCTCTCTCTCTCTGCTCGGTCTACCTGCCCCGCCCCCACATGGGTTCACAGATTCAGAGCAAATGCAAACATTTTAATTCTTTCAGCTAGTCTAACAATCCCCTCATTTTCCAGATCAGGAAAATGGGGCCCGGACAGGCATCAGAACTTTTCCAGGTCTCACAGGTAGTAACTGGAAGGGCAGAGACGTGAACGAAGGCCTCTCTCTGCCTCCATCCCCTTGTATCCTGCTGGAAGGGCAGAGGCATGGGGAGAGGGGAGCAAAGCTGGAAGGGGACGGGGATAGTGGTTGGGCCCGTAGGAAAGCAGATGGGCGGGAGTGGGATCATGATAGAGGCCCGGTTCGGCCCATTCTGCCCCATGAAACCAGCTCCAGGGATAACAGCGTTTTCAAGGTTTAACAAGCCAGACTAGTCCTCCAACAGTTTAGGTGGTCGGGGTAAAGGACCCAGCAACGACGTCTGGTTTACGGAGGAGGAAGGAGGCCTAGAGACTTGGAGACTTGCTTCTCCCAAGGTCACATCGCTGCCAGTGAGCCTGCGGGGTTGTGTGTGTGTGTGTGAGGAGGTCGGGTGGGGGGAGAGAGGAGGGAAGGGGGGGGCACGTCTCCAGAACCCAGTTCTTTCCCCTCCGTCCGGTGTTGGCTTTGCATCCAGAGTCTCAAGTGCGGGGTGGGGTGGGGGGAAGGGGGACGGGAGTGGGGGCGGGTATCACACGATGTCTAGGGAGCGGGTCAGGCCTCTCTAGCCCTCTCTCCCTTTCAATTGGTCTTCCTGGTGGGCGGAGGACTGCCCAGGCCCCATTTAGGGGTGGACACTTGGGCCTCCGCCTCCCAGATCCAGACAGATCGGATCTCCGCAGCTGTCCACAGCCATGGGCTTGGAACTCTACCTGGACCTGCTCTCCCAGCCCTGCCGTGCAGTCTACCTCTTCGCCAAGGCTAATCGTATTCCCTTCGAGATGCAGAACGTGGAGCTGTTCCGGGGTGAGCGCCCGGGCCGGGCTGCCCCCAATCCCAAATACTGGCCCCGAACAATCTTTGCGCCACCCTTAAACCTACCCCCATTGCCCCTGAGCTCAGCTCGAGTCCAGAGAAGTCCAAACGTCCCGGACTCCATCCCAGCCAAGCCCTTCCTCTTCCCCCTTCTCCCTTCAGACTGAAAGTGGATGTGGAGGAGACAGACCGGGGTGTGCGGGGATGCTGCAGATGGGCCCCGGGCTCCTTAGAGAAGAGAGGGCGGCTCCCCCCGCCCTGACTCTATCGTCCTAAGTATGGGGGGGGGGTCGGGAAAAGGGGAGAGACCAAAATGTGAACGGAGGCCGGAGCTCAAGATGGCGGTGGACCTTCCTCCTCCAGCTCCCCGACATTTGGGGGACGCTTTAGCTGTGTTTTGGAGGAGGGAAGGACGGCTGTCCCGCCAGTCACTGAGTGTGCCCCCGCACCACCTCTTTAATGTCATTTAACAGGGAGGTAAGGGTAGTGGCTGAGGGGGCAGGTGGGCTTGAAGGGAATATATGGCTTTATGTGTGTGTGTGTGGGGGGAATCCATCACTTCCTTCCTCCCTCCCTCCCTCCCACTTTCATTTTTTCACTTTTCCCAGTTACAGATCATACTTACTCCCACCTTTCCCTAGTGCTCTCACTGGGAAGCGTTCTTGTCCCATTCTCGACCTTCTTTCCCTCCCTTTCCTTCCATTCCAGAAAAAAAAAAAGTTCCCTTTTTCCCTCTGGAAGCCCAGGCTGGCTCTGAGATCTGGGAGTGGCTGGGCTGTATCTGAGTCAGTCACGTTGTGAGCCCAGTGGGCCTCTTCTTAGGGGGCCCACAGCGCTGGACGCTGTGTCCTGAGGGAAGCCTGCACCACCTCCTGGGTGTTCTGGGAATTAGCTTTCCCCAGGAGTAGAGGCATGCTTGAATGAATGAATGAATGAATGAATGAATGAATGAATGAATGAATGAATGAACGAACTAAACAAACGTCTTTGAAATTGTATCCCTGGGGCTTAGTGGAGCGGCTGGCACTTAGCAGGTGCTTAATAGGTGTTTGTTGCCTTGACTTATAAACGCCCATAAAGAGACTCCTGCCACTACCCCTGTTATGCAATCTTGGAGTGTTGGGCGTTGAGCTTCCGGAGCTCATAAGGGGCCACAGAGCCAGTATGTGTCTGAGGTGTTCTTTGAACCTAGGCCCTTCTGACTCCAAGTCATCTAGCCACAAGGCCAGCTAGCTTCTACTACTTGTGCTGAGGTCAACTCAAACACTCCAGTTCAAACCAGTGACAAATGTACTAACTCTTTCCTCCTCTGCCATCCTTCAGATTTTCCTCTCAGACAACCTCAGAGGACCAGTGGTTCCACTGGCTTACTTTTCCCATCTATCTGTATCGGTAATAATACATTTCTTTTTTGCTTAAGGGTACCCCTCAAGAACTCTCTTTCTTCTTCTCTGACTCTGTCTCCATCCCTCTTGCTCTCTCTTTTCTTTCTGTCCCTTTTTTCTCTCTCCATCATCCCCTTCCTCTCCTCTCTCTCTGTTCCCTTCCTTTTTCTCCCCCCTTCCTCTTTTTTCCTCCCTATCTTCCTTTTTTTCTTCCCTGCCCAGCTTCCCTATGCAATAGATAATAGCCTCCCATTTTTGCAAGGGAAACAACTCTTATTTCATTTTGGCCCCCTTAAAGTCCATGACCACATTAATCAGCTTGCCTTTGTTGTCCAACAAGTTATTCTTTTGAAAATAGTCAGTTAAATAGTCTAAAGATAATCAGATTAAGTGGGAAAATCAAAACTCTCTAATCTGGCTAAACTAGTGGGGGAAAGGACAGTGAGGGGAGGAACAGGAAGCTAAGGGATTGACTGGCAAACTGGAGGGAGAAAAGTGGATTGGAAGAGGAAGTGCTGCTGCCTTGGTGGTCCTCCTTTATTCTCAAAGAGGACCAGTGAATGGGTGAGCAAGAGTCTGAGGGCTGCCCTGGAAATTGGCTGGCCTCTAGAGCCTGCTACTTGACTCAGTCTCATATTTCATCTTAATATCTCAAGCTCCAGAGTCACCCAGGGGTGGGGCCATCTCCAGTTATCTGGCCACTGGATCCAGATGGCTGTTGAGGACAAAGTGAGGCTGGTGACTTTGCACAGCCCTCCCTCACTTAAATCCAATTCACTTGCAAGTCATGGCATCATCTTCCTGATGTTATGGTCCTCTTTGAGAACAAAGAACAAGTCACATCCAGGATTCATATTTGTATATTTCCCATTAATTAATACAGTTTACACACACATATTTTTAATCAACTAAGCTCGGAGTCCTCAGCTCACTTCATCAAATATTTATTAAGGGAACTGGAGAAAGCCACTTTTTCCAATTGTGATAACAAACATTTCTTTGTATTGAATCCCTCAGTCTCTCAGGATTTAATTAATCCTGGGCAGCTATGTGGTGCAGTGGAAAGAGTATTGGCCTTGAAGTACAGGGAAGACCGGGATTTAACTCCTACCTTAATTACTAGTTTTGTGACCTTGGGCAAGTCACTTAACCTTTATCAGCCTCAGTTTTCTTCTCCAAAAAATGGGAACAATGATAATATGCACCTTACAAAGTTGTTGTGAGGATAAATGAGTTAATGAATTCAAAGCACTTTGCATACCTGTAAAGTACTATATAAATGCTAGGGGACACAAAGAAAAGGAAAAGACAGTCCCTGCTCTCAAGAAGCCCACAGTGTCATGGGAAAGACAACACATTAAAAAAAAAAGCTGACAAGGGAAGGAGGGCAGTTGGTGTGGAGCCTGATGAAGTCCAGAGGAGGGTGTAGCTGGGGGGGGGGAATGATGAGATGGGTGCCCTCCTTCAATAAAGGTCTCCACTTGCCAAGCAGAAGGAGGAAGAGGTCCCGGGGCACACATTCTGAGGAGGTTAAGTATCAGGGGTGATGGGATTTTGCAAGAGAAGGAGATTCTGGGAGAGGACGGTGAAGTCCCAAGGACTGCAGCCAGGTGGCAGACGAGGTCATCTAACTGCTAACTCTCCCTCCCAGCGGCATAGCACCTGTTAATATGGCACTTTGTGCTATTGATGCCTTCATGAAATCACTGATGAAAATATTGACTGGCCAAGGACACCTCAGTAGAGGAGATTTCCCAAGACCCTGTTGAACAGTTTATGACTGCTGTGGGGGTCTGATCATTCATCCAGATTTGAATCCACCAGGATGTTTGCCTCTGGCCCACCTGCCTGTATTATCATCTAACCCAGAGGTTCCCAAACTCATTTGGCCCATTTTAAAAATAATTACCCAGCGCCCCCCTGCCCGGAAATCTTTAAGCCTTTAACAGTTATCTTAAGTTTGTGCCATTTAAAAATACAAATGTTTTTAAATAAGGCAGCTTAAATTCAATAATTTATTGTAAATTTATGGTTTTTTCCTACATTGAAATTTTGATGATGCAATATTGCATCACGTAACTGTTAGTATCATATTGTAAACAAGTCATTACACACACATATTCCTGTCAGGGTATGCTGGAATTCCCAAGAATGCACTAAAGGCTTGCCCAGCAATACTTGTTTGTTAAGACTTGTCAGACTTGTTATAACTCGCATTTTATGTGTTTATTTGGAAAATAATGTTATCACTATAATTTAAGTGTGTTACACAACAGATGAAACATGTACAAATGGTTTTTCAAAGTTTTCTTACCTTCTCTTTTTTATTCAATGCCCCCCCATTGCACCTGAGGCTATCACCACCCCCCTGGGTCATTCCAGCGCTCCCCAGGGGGCAGTATCAGCCACTTTGGGAACCTATTCTAGCCCACCTCTCTCCATCTTTTGCACAGAGATAAAATGAGGCAGTCACTTTGTCAAGTGGCTTGCTATACTAGGGCTTCTACATTGTCTCATCTACCAGTCTAATGACCTTCAAAACGCCTGAGTGGCCTCACATCCATCTCTTCAGACACCTCCAATGGTTCCATATCTCATGGAATCATGCCTTTGCACCTTCAGAGATTAATTTCATTGTTGAGAGCTACCCATTGGTTTGGGTTAACTTCCCTTACAGACTATTGGTCCATGAGATGGGACCTAAGCTTTCCCTGGATCCTTGGGGATCCGCTCCTCAGAAATTCAGGGTGCACAGGAGACCATGCCCACTTTGCATTGCTCTATCACAAACTCTATGGAAAACCCTAGGGCAGCTAGGTGGCACAATGGATAGAGCGCGGCGCCTGGAGTCAGGAAGACTCATCTTTCTGAGTTCAAATCTGGGCTCAGACACTAACTAGCTGTGTGACTCAGAGCTAATCACTTAACCCTGTCTGCCTCACTTTCTTCATCTGGAAAATGGGCTGGAGAAGAAAGTGGCAAACCACTGCAGTGTCTTGGCCAAGAAAACTTCCAATGGGGTCACAGAGAGTCAAACAAGACTGCGAATGACTGAACAAAACAAAATCACGAGCTCTCAGGTAGAATGGTCACCTGCCCCAAGGGTTCCATCATCTCCTCTTTAGCGACCAGTCTCTCTCCTTTGGTCAGAATCAGGCCCAGAATAAGAGGTCCTCTTATTGCTCATTTTACCTGCTCGATCTCTCTGGGAATGAGGGGCTTAGACTGGACGAGGTTTCAGGGCTGTGCCCTGTGCTGTTCTCCCTACCTTGACCTTGAGCTGGCCACATTCATGACCTTGGTCTTGGGCTCACCTCCTTGGACAAGCCCTTTTCCTAGGAGTGAGGAGTCACAGAGAGTGAGGACAATAGTGACAACCCTAATGCCCTCACCACACATCCTGGCCAACTGGCCCACACTGAGAACCTGGGAAAGCAGTGGTTCACCCCCCTTCAAGGATGCCCAAGCACCGAGAAGGAGAGGCCAGCTCCCTGAAGGCTACAGCTTAGTGGGGAGGGGAGAGGGCCCACAGAGAGTGAGGACAATAGTGACAACCCTAATGCCCTCACCACCACATCCTGGCCAACTGGCCCACACTGAGAACCTGGGAAAGCAGTGGTTCACCCCCCTTCAAGGATGCCCAAGCACCGAGAAGGAGAGGCCAGCTCCCTGAAGACTACAGCTTAGTGGGGAGGGGAGAGGGCCCTTCTTGCCTCGTTTTGCACATCTGCTTTCCCTTTAGGGGAGCACATGACTGATGAGTTTGCCAGAGTGAACAGCCTGAAGAGACTGCCAGCTATGAAAGATGGAGATTTCACCTTGGCGGAAAGGTACGTTTCCTGGCCCTGGGCCCAGCTCCCCTACTGCCCTCATGCCCTCCCACACTCAAACTCTCATTTTGTTCCCAAATTTTCCTTCACTATCTATCTTTGAGAAACTTTTCGAGTGATATGAGCAGTTGTTATTTTTATACAGTTTGGCCTAAAGTTGTGAAGTTAGTGTAGAGTTAAGAGGAAGAGAAGGAAGTGGGGGAGAGGGAGAGGGAAAGGAAGGAAAGAGTAGAGGAAGGGGGAGATAGATAAAAAGGCTTTTTGGCTTTGAGTGGCCTAACAGCCAGGATTCAGCCAACATCCAGCCTAAAGACATGCATTGTACTGCATCTCACCTTGTCTACATACTCTCAGCTTTCTTGGAGACCAGAAAGATGTCCAGGGGCATAGAGAGAGAGAGAAAAAGAGAGAGAGATGCATAATGGATAGAACTGGGGGTGGAGAAGAGAGGACCTTGGGGCCCTGAATTCTAATCCCCGCTTTCTCTCAATTACTATAAAAAGTTGGCCAAGTTTCTTCTTTTTTTCTTCATTTTTTTCTTCTTCTTCTTTCCTCCTTGTGTAATTCAAGGGCATTTGGTTGCCTTATCCCAAAGGCTTTTTGACCCTAACAAGGAATGAAAGTCAAAGGCCAGGATGCTGGTCTTGGGAGATCACATAGTCATGTCCTTCACCCCCATCTCTCAACAAACCCACTCTTACAGAGAGAGACAGACAGACAGAGAGAAGAGAGAGGAGAGACAGGCACAATTTTCTGGAAAGAATTACACCAGAATAGCTTGATGAGATGGCCAAAGGAAATCCTTTAATCTTTTGAAGGAAGGAGTCTATTTATAGAAATGCATGAGGACACTGCCCTGATAAACCTGAATGTGTCCTGAGAAGGCGCAAGGGAGAGAATATGGGGAAGAGGCCAGTGGGCAGGAGTTGACTGAGGCTGTCCTTCTTGCCCCCTCAGCGCGGCCATCCTGCACTACCTGAGTCAGAAATACAACACTCCAGCTCACTGGTATCCTCGAGACCTGCAGGCCCGGGCACGGGTGGAAGAATACCTTTACTGGCATGCTGACTCCATTCGAGGCACTTTGGGCTCAGTGCTATGGATTCAGGTAAGACAATGGGCCTGCCCTGATGGTGAGAGGTTAGGGAGTCCTTACAACCTACCCTGGCCTTTAGCATTGGTTGGAAGCCTTAATGCCTTCAGGTGGGGAGACAGACCCAGATGGACTTGGGGAGAGGACTTTTTGTGTGGAGTTGAGACTGAACCCTCCTCCCGACCCCAACAGGTGCTGGGCCCTCTCATTGACATCCATGTTCCCAAGGAGAAAGTGGACAGGAACAGAGCCTTCATAACACAACTCCTGCAACATCTGGAGCAGAAGTTCCTCCAGGACAAGCCCTTCCTCACTGGTGACCAGATCTCTGTGGCTGATCTGATGGCGCTGGAGGAGCTGATGCAGGTGTGGGGGGCAGACTCTGCCCTGGTGCTAGAGGGGGGGAAGGTGGAAAGCTAAGGGTACTTGTCCAGAGCCAGAAGTGAGCTCGTCCCTGCCCTGAACCCCCTCAGCCTAGCCTCCCAACTCCTTGGTAGCTCCCTTCCTGGGGGCCGGAAGAGACCCGAGCACAGCCCCTCAGCTGTCTTGCACATTCTTTTCTGCAGGGCCCTCAAGCCATTCTTTCATGGGATCATGCCACACTGGGAGCTAAGTGAGGGCAGAATTAACATCTCCATTAGACAGCTGAGGAAACCAGGACCCAGGGACATGTCGTCTTCATCAACAACAACACATCCTTACTGAGCAGCTGTTGTGTACCTGGCCCTGTGCCAAGTGCTAGGGGTACCAAAAAAGGCAAAACCATAGTCTTGCTCTCAAGGAACTAGAAAATCAAATAGGGGAGTCAACATACAGATAACAAACTCTATATACAATCTCTCCAGGGTAGATGGGAGACAACGCCAGGCAGAAGGCACTAGTGGGGGGAGGGTGCCCAGGACAGGCTTGTTTCAAAGGGAGGATTTGAGCTGTGTCTTGGAGAAAGCCAGAAAGCAGAGGTGAGGAGGAGCAGCATTCCAGGAATGAGGGACAGCCAGGGGAGAGGCACAGAGTGGACAAATGCAGTACTGTATGGGAAGAACAGCCAGAAGCTGAGATGCTGCTCTTGGAGTATGCCGAGGGGAATAAAGGGTAGGAATACTGGGAAGGGAGTGTCATGAGGTATGCTCTGGCTCTCTATGTCCGTGCCAAGCTCTTCTTCCCCTTAGGGTGGGTCCTAGAGTCCCCATAGGTAGTGATACGCCTTTGCTGTCAGCTCAAACTCTCACTGGCTGTGTCATCTCACATTATTAGGAGCCAGTGACTAGCACTCTAATTCCATTTAACCCCAGAACATCAATTCAAAGATAAGGCAAGAACATACAAACATTTTTCCCCAATGCCTTTGAAACATACTGTCCCCTGTACCATCTCAGTCTCTGGGGATGTAGGCTCACTTTGCTAAGAAAGGAGAATGAAGAGGAGGAGAGGGTGAGAAAATGACAAAGGCTGCTGAGAGCTCAGGAAAGATGAAGGCTGAGAAAAGCCAGTAGACTTGCCAATTATGAGATAGACCATTGGTACCTTTGGAGAGAGTAGTTTCAGTTGAATAAAATGAGATCAGAAGCTGGCCTTCAGAGGAGAAGGAATGGAGGCACTGACCATGGATCTCCTTCTTAAGGAGTTAATCCACAAAGAAGAGAGATATAGGGTGATAGCAGTGAGGTTTCGATGAAGTAAGGGTTGACTAAGGATAGGAGAGATGTGGGTGTGTTTGTTGGCAATAAAGATGAGGTTAAGAAGGGAGAGATTGCCGTTTAGTGAGAGTTTGGGGATGATAGAAGGCACAGTCTTCTAGAAAAAATGGAGTGTAACATGATGGCATAACGTGAATGTTGAGGGGTTTGCGTTGGCAAGGAGAATGGTCACCCAATTGCAAGAGAAAGGAGTGAACATGGAAATAGTGGGGAAAGATGTCTGAGTGATATGGGTGAGGAGGAGGGAAGAAGTGGCACCTCCATCAATGGCAAATGGGATAAATGTGAGTGTCACATTTTTTTACTGAAGTAAGGTAAATTTTGGTGGGGTAAAGTTCTCTCAAGTGTGGATGTGGAAGGTGGTAACCCATGGGAAGCTTGGTGAGGGATAGATAGGTTTGGATGTGGCTGTGGTGAGTGCAAGAGGTGTACGAGGATAGCCTTGTTGCAGCAAGGGCCCAGGTGAAAGTATGGAAGGTGAAGCTGTAATGTATTCCACTCAGCTTGGCTTTGTGGTTTCCTCCAGCTCCATTCAATAGCACGAGCACAGGAGCAGAGGCAGTGGTTGATGGGAGCAATCCAGGGTTGGGGCTTAGAGAGCCTTGAGCATCAGTAGGACAGCAGGGCAAGGGACTTGAGTGTAGATGATCCTGTTGAGTTGAAATGGTTCCTCAAGGGCTAAGATAATGCAGTGAGGACAGCGTAGTCAATGCAGTAGACATGGCCTGGGAAAGAACAAAAGAGCTGGACGTCATGGTGAAGACCAAGAAAAATGTTAGGGAGTGTGAGGCAGAGGGAAAGCTGGAACCATAGAAGGCTATGATCAGATAAAGGAATTTCCAAGTTTATGAGCATGGAAGTAGAAGATTTGTGGATGATGGTGAGGTCAAGGATTTGACTATTTCTGTGTGTAGCCAACATGGAGTGCCGGTACAGGTCATGGAAAATGGGTCGATGGAGAGCCTGGGAAGTGTAAGTGTTTGAGGGAGAATGAGTATGTAGATTAAAATACACTAGTATGAGGGCATGAGTTGGGGTAGAGAGAAAGCCAACCTCCATCCTCAAGGACTCAGTGCTTTACTGGAAGATACAATATGATTATAGCTTAAAAATAAATAAATAAATATAAGGTCACGAGGAAAGGCAGAGCACTAACCACTGGGGAGGTCAGGAACGACTTGATGGAGAAGGAGGTGCCTGAGCTCAGACTTGGAGGGGGAGCTGAGGATTCTGGAGGCAGGGTGGTAAAGTGGGAAAGAATTCCAGGCATGGGAGAGTTTGTGTGATTAGGTGTGGAGATTGAGAATGGGATGCCAAGTTCAGAGACAAGCTCGAAGGCCGGTGTGCCTGGGACACAGACTCCATGAAAGGGAGTAGTGCGGAATCAGACTGTGAAGGCCAGGATGGCAGATGTTCAAGTCCAGCCTGCGGAGTCTATTTACATGGCGTTCTTCGGGCAAGGCAATAGGGAACCTCTGAAGGATGTTGAACAAGAGAGTGCCATGAGTAGGGCTAGCCTGTATTTTAGGAAGATGCTTTTGGGAGCTGTGAGGCAGCTGGATTAGAAAGAGGTGAATTAGGCACTGTTTTCCAAGTGGGAGATGATGAGTCCCTAGTGAGTGGAGGCCTTATAACCTGGAGACAGGGCAATGAATGCAGCGTGTCATGGGAAGTTAGAATTAAGGAGATTTGGCAGTTGATGGGCTAGGGGTGGCTATGGAGGAGATGTCAAGGATAACCCTGAGGTTGCCAATCAAGGTTACTGGAAGGAAGGTGGAATAGAAATTGGAAAGTTTGGATGGAGGGGGGAAGGTTAGTGGGGAGGTGATGTCAGTTTGGGAAAAACTGAGTTTGAGATGTTTTCCTGCAGACCTTCTATGCTGGTTTTGATGTCTTCGAAGGGAGGCCCAAGCTGGCAGCTTGGCGTGGGCGGGTAGAGGCCACCTTCGGGGAGGAGCTATGGCAAGAGACCCATGAAGCCATCCGTAAACTCTGTGCAGATCCCAAGTCCTTGAAGGACATCCCCTTGGCCATGCAGGAGGGGATGAAGTTACGTCTTTCAAAGATCCCCTAATACAAGGTGAGATGGAGAGCTGTGGGATGAGAGAACTACTGCTAAAAGAGGGGAAGGCCATGTGAATGTGAAGAGAAGGGGAAGAGAAGAAAGAGTGTCTGGCACCTTGCCTCTGCTTCCTAGAAATGTAATCCGTGTCTCCGGTGACAGCCTCACAAGCCAGGCTCACAAAACACCATGTTCTGTAGGTGCTTCTCGGCTCAGGGCCTGAGGTTGGCTTCCCCTCCCCTCACATCCCATTCTCCTACCCATTGAGGACCAGCCAGCTCCTCTGCAGTCCCCACCCCCAGCCTGCAGCACCTGGGAACCCTTCAAGGACAAGAGCCTACAGCTCCTACTTTGACAGCCTCAGACCTTCCCAGAAACTGGTGGGCAGAGGGAAGAACCAGGTCCCAGTCCCTTCCCAGTCAGTGAGGGCTAAAGTGAATAAGGTCCTGACCACTAGGATCTACTTCTGTTTCAGAATTTCTCCCTAGGTCAGAACCCTCAAAAGGAATGAGCCCCAGTGATGAAAAGCCCAGTGTCGACAGATGTATCCACGGATATCATCTCCTTCTACATACATTCATGACCAGCATTCACACACCTCCAAGCATGCATTTGTGCACACCAGCACACATCTGGATACCTCGGATAATTCCCACCCCCTTATAGATACTGACAAGTTCATATCCACACATAGGGAGATATCAGCAAACCAACTGATGTTTGAGGAAAAGGATCTCGGTTGTCTGGAATCCTCATCTGGGTCTGGGAATTTATAGGTTTTACACAAACAAATGTAAAATTGTATTTAAAAAAACCCAACACTAAAACTGAATAGGAAACTACTTGTCATGATGGTAATTCAAGGAGAAAAGGTCCTAGGCCTTTAAATGAAATAAGAGCTTCAAAGGCTGGACAGTGACAGAGACACACCGGGAGGAGTGGGGGGAGGGTTGGCTTTGGAGGCCAAAGGACCTCAGAGCCCATCTGGTCTAATGGGAGTCCAAACGGAATACTCTCTTGGCTATCCCAAAGAGATGTTACTTCTAGTTTGGAAATTCTGGACAGCTAGTGATGGGGAACTCATTCCCTTTGGACACAGCCTACCCAAAGTTTCAGATAGTTCCAAGAGTCAGGTGATTTTTCATTATGTTGATCCTAAATCTGACTCTTTGCAATGTCTCCCCATTGCTCCACTCTCTGCCTTGTGAGGCCAAGGACAACACATTTAATTGCTCTTCCTGACAGATCCTCAAATATCTGAAGACTGATTATTGAAGAATAATTCAACATTATTAGCACCCACTATGAACTGGAGGAACTGGGCATACCCCACTCTAATTCCATTCTAATCTAGCCAAGGGCTGTGTTCTGATATCTTCCCAGACGTTTCCAAACAATGCTATCTGTAACCTGGTCGTTCGTCCTCCTCCTTCTCACTCCAGATCCCAGATCCTGCCCCGGGACACCAGACTGTGAAGATGAACAGTGCTCCATTTCACTTCCCAACTATTTCCAAACTTTGTGGCCCCGTGTTTTCCACTCCCTTGTCATGCCTAGCTTTCCTTTATTCTGCCTCCTCCCCCCCCCCCGCTCCCATTAGAATGTAAGCTTTTTGATGGCTGGGACAGTCTTCTTTGCTAATTTTTGTATTCCAAGCATTTGACATAGTGCCTGACATATAGTAAGAACTGAATAAATGCTTTTTCATTCATTCGTTTATTCATCTGGTCATTAAGTCTTGCCTCTTTTTGTAATCTACAGAAATGCACAATCTCACTGATTAACCAACCAGCTCTTAGTCTCTGTGCCAGTGTGTGAAGTAAACCAGAGAAACATGTCTCCCCATCAGCTTTCTCCATTCTCTGCCCATATCAAACCAACTAGTCTCAAAGACTGAAATAAACCACAGTGTCACGAGCTCTACAGTTAATTATTCGTCCACCTGTAAGACAAGCACAGTGGTAACATCTCCTTCCCAGGACTGTGGTAAGGATCAGTAATAGTAATTAACAGCAGCTAACATTTATGGAGTGCTCTCTAAGCTCCAGGCTGTGTGCTACCACTCTACAATGATTATCTCATGTTGTCCTCAACAACAACCTGTGAAGTAGGTGCTATTATTATCTCCATTTTATGGTTAGGAACCTACGATAAACAAAAGTTAAGTGCCTTGCCCAGGGCCACACA